ACAGACACACACACACACACACACACACACACACACACAGAGTCCCTTTTTATGTTTTTCTGTATGTATTAAGGAAGCTTTAGTAACATTAGATTTTCATATTACTTAAAATAACTCTTTAGTGTTAGTTTATCCATCCCTTATTTCCTCCTCTACATTGTCCTCCCATTTCACACATACGTTAACCCTTCCTGCTCCATTAGCTCTCTCTGGACACCATTATTTGAGTGGAGAGGTAGCCTACAGAATGGGAGAAATCATTATCATTTATATTTCTGACAGAGGGTTAGCATCTAGACAATAAAGAACTAAACATCAAGAAAAGAATCCAGTTACAGATGGGGCTTGGAACTAAACAGAGAGTTTTAAAAGATGAAATACAAATGTCTAAGAAAAAAAATGTGAATGTCCAAAATCCTTAGTCAAACTAAAACTTCTTTGAAAATTCACCTTACCCTAATGACTAAGATTAAAAAAAAAAAAAAAAAGCTATGGAGCAAAATTCCAAATGAGGACAGAAGTTGGCATGGACGTGGAGAAAGAGGAACAGTCATTCAATGCTAGTGAAAACTGCCATAGCAACTATAAACATCAGTATGAAGGTTGCTCAAAAAAAGCTACAAATAGAACTACCACATGGTCTAGTTACATCACTTTGGGCATATAGCCAAAGAATCATCTATCCTACTTTATAAACACCTGCTCAACCATGTTCATTTTTGTTCTATTTATAATAAACAGGAAATGGAAACAACTACGCTTTCATCAAGCCATGAATGGCCAATGAACATGTGGTATATTTAGACAATGGGATGTTATTGACCTGTTAGGAAAAATAAAATTATAAAAAAAAATCACAAATGAATGGATGGATCTATAAATAATCATCCTATAACATAATCTAGACCTAGAAAGACAAATATCATGCTTTCTCTGATATGTGGATTTGAGCTTTGAATCTTTAGATTTGTGTGTTTTATTTAGAATACCCACACACACCAGGCTTTTAAGGGGTAAGGGACTTTCAAGGAAGGGAACAGCTTGATTTGGTTTAAATTCTTTGTAAACCTGTTTTACATTATCACATCATTTACTATGTTCTTTCTCAATGATATTTAAAAATAAGTAAGTAGCTTTCTTCTTGCATCGTTTATACAAACATGACTGGACAATGGGTATTTAAGTTTTCTTTACAAACCAAAGTAATATAAGCCAAGCCTCACTAATGAGGTTGCTTCTCTGTTAGCAATGCTAATGTTAATTACTCTATATTGTTAACTTCATAAATCGATTAATTTGGATTACAAGTTTCCAAGACTCTATATTTCTAAATGGAACACATTTTTAGGGCTCTTTGCTACAATGTCAATTACTTTTTGGAAGTATCCTGTTAAGAAACTCTTGAGCAAAACATTCTTACCCTCTGACCCTATTTTGAACCATTTAGGTAAATAATTTTCTTTCAGCTTTTCTTGCTGGCATTGCACTTAACAACGTGACTTACAAATGTTGCTTTACCATATGTTTTTATGTCCAATTATAGTTAGAAGAATTTTTAGAGATTTCTTATGAATAATAAAAATATAGCATATTTATTGATAAAAAGTACATGAACTGTCAAAATAGCAAAATGCTACATTATTTCTTGCTGATAATATGGTTCTCACTTTAGAAATAATTCTATATAACTTTTATTGCTGCCAAACATTTGCAGTCAGTACCACTGATGGGAATATTCACGGCTCAGACTGACTTTGTATAGACTTTGCTAAGCTTAGCCTCAACAGTTGTAAATAACACAAGTGTCTTTTTAAAATTATCAGTTTTATCACCTGACCACTGTGACTATACACAAACCATATAAACTTTCCTGGGATCATCATATCACTTTACAGACATCAGCTCTACAAGAATACACAGAGCCTTGTGATCTTTGGACATCTTAAAGGTGCCATATTAGAGTTTAACAGTAGAATCACCCTGGTTCCTGGATAAATTTAACAGCACACAGGCTATGAGTCTACTTGGTTATCTACCTTTTGATCAAAAGAGGGTCCAGATAAGTCTACTTTTAAATAAATACTTATAAATCATGTATTTTGAAAACAGGGATGCTCAATTTTAACAATATAAGCTTTGCAACATATTTTACGCATCGCAAAATCTATAGGGTTGGTATTTATCAATTGCAAAAAAAGAAAAAACTGGAAAATATACATGTGTCTGGGTTGTCTGTTGCACTAGAATATTCTCCTGCTACATGTAAGATGCTGAATTAAATGCCATCACCAGAGAAAGAGCAGAAAGTTCAAGACTAATTATATCAGTTTTCCAGTCACCATGACAAAGATCCCTAACAAATTAGAGAATGGGAGGTGCATTTGGTTACAGTTTCTGAGGTTCATCATATCTGAGAGGGCAAATCAGTTCATGGCATGAGTTTCTAGGAAGCAGAGGAAAGAGAAAGCTTGTGCTCTGCTTTCCTCATTCATTTTCTGCCTTTCCCCATTTACTCTGTATGGATTGCTAGCCCATGGCGTAGTGCCACTCACCCCAGGTGTGGGTCCTCCATATTTAGGAAATCCCTCTACATATGATCACAAACAGGCCAGAAAGGACTGCAGCAGTGTCCTTGGGGATTTGAAATGCAGGTAGTTGGGATGAATGGTTGACTGTCATACCTATCATCCTTGAGATAAACAGGAAAAAGTAGGAAAGTCTAGAGACGACGTTTTCCCTATTTTACATGTTTTGGGTCAATTTTGAAGACAATTATGTTTATAAGCCGTTGGAGTAAAATAGCACTTAATTTCTTTTGATTGTTTTCATAGTCAATACTCAAATTACATTTGAACTCCTTTGAGTTGCATATTTTCACCTTAGAAGTACATTTAACCTATTAAAAAAGAAACTGACGGTCTCACAGATGTCTTCATTAAAAACCAAGGGGTCACAAAATCATCTGAAAGGAGACCCTGAGAGATGGCTCAGTGCTGAAGAGCATGGGCCACTCTCTTCAAGATGACCTGTGTTCAGTTTTCAGCACGGAGCTGGCAGCATACAGCTGATAGCCCTTGGGGGTCTGATGCCCTTTGCTGGCCTCCATTGTCACCAAGCGTTAGTGTAATACACATAGTACACAGATGTACATAAAGGCAAAGCAAGCAAGCAAACAAAAAATAAACGTATAGTCAATAGTTTTCAAAATCAAACAAAAACTTTTAAAAGGAGACAGAAAATAACATATGAAAGCCAAAGGTAATATTGTAAAGATGCAATGGGCAGTATCTCAAATTACATCTTCATATTTAGAAAGCAGGGCTATTTCTAGAGGTTTGGGACAATATGAAAACAATGATTTAAACCATGCATACTCTAAGTATTCTGTTTTTAAACAAGACCAGCCTAAAGCATCAGGGAACTCACACTCTTCCTCTTCTATTTATTTTCACGTGACAGCATTTCTTTAAGGAAATGAGTGTGCCCAGAAGCACTGGAAACTCCCTTCCCTCTAAAGGTGATGACTAACTGTGGACTTGCCTGCTTTTCAGGCCAGCAAAAATTGACAACAATGGATCTGAACATTCTGAAGCATTTGTTTGTTGTTGTTGCAAGTTAATACTACGAAATATTTTCACCTTAGAAGTACATTTAACCTATTAAAAAAGAAACTGACGGTCTCACAGATGTCTTCATTAAAAACCAAGGGGTCACAAAAAAATAAATAAATAAAATGGCACAAATATGTGGAAAGGACCTGCAAGGAGGACCGACAGGTGACAGAGGTGGGGAGGGAAGTAAAAAGGCTGGATCAGAGGAAACAGAAGGTGCATGAAATTTCAGGGAACATATTCTATCAATAAAAAATTGTTGATGTCAAGTTATTTCATCAATTCATTATAAAATTAGTTTTATTTGTTTTGTTATGGTTCTTGTGTTGGTTGAGATAATGAAATGTCCATCATTAAAATACGGTTTTATGTCTGGAGCTGAAAAAGTTGTCATAATTCTTCTGGTGTATTTTGAGGCTATTTGTGTGTATGCGTGAGGCTGGAGGTCAGTTTTGTGTGCTGCTACTAAGAATGTTCCTCTCTCTCTCTCTCTCTCTCTCTCTCTCTCTCTCTCTCTCTCGTGTGTGTGTGTGTGTGTGTGTGTGTGTGTGTGTGTGTGTGTATTTCGCACACATGCATGGGTGCCTGTCTGTCTGTCTGTCTGTCTGTCTGTCTGTCTGTCTGTCTGTCTGTCTGTCTGTCTGTCTGTCTGTCTGTCTGTCTGTCTGTCTGTCTGTCTGTCTGTCTGTCTGTCTGTCTGTCTGTCTGTCTGTCTGTCTGTCTGTCTGTCTGTCTGTCTGTCTGTCTGTCTGTCTGTCTGTCTGTCTGTCTGTCTGTCTGTCTGTCTGTCTGTCTGTCTGTCTGTCTGTCTGTCTGTCTGTCTGTCTGTCTGTCTGTCTGTCTGTCTGTCTGTCTGTCTTTATCTCTATCTCCATCTTTCCTTTCCTTCTTCTTCTCTTGAGAAGTTTCTCTCTGGACTTGGAGGCCCGTGGCTCACCAATGAGGATAGGCAAGAGACCATGAGACCCTAGGTCCACCTGTCTCTGCACACCATGCCAGGCCTTTCATCTGACTACTGACAATCAAAGCTGGGTCCTGAATGCTGTGCATGTTCAGTGATATTCACACCTTTCTGGGAAGTTTCTACTCTGAATATTGCATAAATATTTATCCCTAAATGATCTGGAACTGGTTATTATAGAGCAGAATTAACCTATGCTTTTAATCCCCTGGCTGTTTCTATGGACTCAAGAATCTGTAAGATCATAAACATCAAAGAAAACTTGGAAGTATAAACTTTTCTAAGTACATAAATTCGATTTGCAGCAATCACTGAAATGATTATTTATAATTGTGCATTGTGTTTGCTACATGATGTGATTTCTGTAGAATATACTATTCATGGCTATAGATTTTCTTCTGCCTTATTTTTGCTTTTGTTTCTCCTAGTTACTGGCTGACCAACAAAGTGCCCATCAAAAGACCCAGCACAGGCCTCCTCATGTACACACTGGCCACCAGATTTTGTGATGAAATTCACCTGTATGGGTTCTGGCCCTTCCCTAAGGATTTGAATGGAAAAGCTGTGAAATATCATTACTACGATGACTTGAAATATAGATACTTTTCCAACGCAAGCCCTCACAGAATGCCATTAGAATTCAAAACCCTGAATGTGCTACACAACAGAGGAGCACTAAAACTGACCACAGGGAAGTGCATGAAGCAATAAAGCACATATTGAAGGATCAAAACTGGATAGAAACTTTTTCTAAAGATGCTTCTGGAGATTTAGAAACAGGATCCAAAACAAGGCTGGGGTTCAGCATCCACACTGACTGAATAGCTGAAATGGAAGTCCATGGGAATCCACCACCAGCTGATGAAATACCTGCCAAGTGCTCTAACTATAAAATATTCTGACTTCAAGGGTCCTAGTAAGTGCCACTTCCACGAAGAATACAGTTTGAATGTATTATCAGTAGTGTTTACAAGATCCAACAGTGCACTCATCATTAATTAGCAAAGCAAATATGTTCGTCACTGTGGGGCAGCCGCTGTAATGCCAAGCACACTGGAAGAGGAACTCAGGAGCATCACGACTCGGAGCTTGGGAAATTAACATCCTTATCCGCAGAAATGAAGAAGAAAAAGAATTCAAACAGTGAAATCCATGAGATGAAGTAACTTGAAGGAATGTCTTCAGTCAGGACACTGAGAGTGATCATGTGTGTGTTTTGCTTGTGTTTTTGTTTGTCTTCTGAAACTTGTTTTCTTTTGGGTATGGGGTGAATAGAAATTCATCTGAGGTACAGAAATGGGAAATACATGACAGAGAAAAATAAACATCAAACAGTCCTTTCTAAAATTCTTTTTCTTAAACAGCAACTACACCAGATTTTTTCTTATTTGTTTTGTTTCACACAACGCTAAATCTCTGGATTTTGTATCAACAGTGTAGCAGGTACCAGCCAAACCAGCCACTCAGTAAGAGTGAGCCATTGTGAAGGAGCTATAATTGAGAAATGGTAAAATTGCTCTTGGTACCAAAGATTTTATCATGTTCCCACACAGTAAACCACTCCTCTTTCATTAAAAATATATTAATAACATGAATACATCAACAGGCTATTACTAAAAACTTGGTTCTAAGTGTTTTAAAATTTTCAAACTCAAACATTATTTTTAATTTATACCTTTGATACTTGATAATAGTTCTGTAGGAAAGGGTTGCCCTGTAGAACAGATGTTGGGTTGATGTGGCTGAGATGTGACTCCTAGTTCTATGACGTTACCCTGAATATTCAGACGCAAAGATCGACATGCACCACTTAGTGTCATTTTCAAAATTTCTGTCTGCAAAGTAGCATGATAAATTGAGACTTGTTTTCCAAACCGATGACTAATTCAGAGCAGTTTAACAATAATATGATAGCATTGTGTATCTAAAGTGAATCCAACCGACAAGGGTTTTTCTGCAGTTAATACAGTTCCACTATTACTACATTTTAAAGAAACATGAAGTTATTCATGGAGTGGCACCGTGATTAGTGACTGAACTGGCTGGTGGGCTGGTTTTCTGTTTCTTTTGAAAGCAGAAGTTCTGTAGTCTCACTTCTGCTTCATATGACTTCCCATTTCTTGGGGAAGGCAATCTGAAGAAAGCAGAAATGGCAGAACTGTGAAGATTTTTTCTTAGGACAATCTGAAAATGAGTGAAGATTGAGGGAAGGTGTCCATATATATTATATATAATATATGTATTCGTATTATGGGAAGGAATAGTCACAGCACTGCAGTTGCCAGTGCTTTTAGTAATAGTGGGAATTGTTTTTTAAAGTTGGCAGAACCTCAGGATTAAAAAGAGCATTTTCTGAGAGCCTGCGAATCTATTAGAAAACAAAACTGAGTGTATGGGGGAGTTTCATAATGAACATGAGTGATATCCATATACTTTTGTCCTTAAAATCCTTATCTATTTGAAAACTTGGAAGTATTTGATACATGCTATATGAATGTGAAATTGAAAGTCTAATTTATTTGGCAAATGAAAAGTGAGTATTGGATAAAGTTGATTTTGAACTCTGCACATCAGTGTTCCCAGCAGCACCTATCACGCGTTCCATGGAAATCTAGAAGTCACGAGGAAATTTTAACATATGAATACTAACTTGGCACTTATTCAAAGTGTGTATTTGAAAGCAGCAGCATACCATTTTGGCTGCACTTTGAAGAAGAAAAGAGGATGTGTTTAGAGAAGCAAGCACACCCCAGCCCCCCACCATTCCATGCGTTGATGCTTAGCTCTTAGATGCATTGGGTAGTGCCTTTTTAACGTCTTCAACCCATTCTTCAGCCCTGTTTTGTGTTCTCTAAACGCTTGCCCAGTTAGGAAAATGCTCAGCATCAAAAGGGCTTCAGATTTGAAAGAAAACTACTTTTGTTCATCTCAGGGAACTTTCAATACACAAGAATGAAATCAGTTAAAGGTATTTAGCGCTCAGAGAAGAAGTACTGTGTGAGCCCATTCCACTCTCTTAACACTTCAGTCCCCATCCCGGCCTTCTTACAGGGAAAAGGCCAGGCGAGCCATGATGGCTAACAGTTCAGTGAGGGGTAGAGGTAGAATTTAACACACACAATGGCATAAGGGATCAGAACAAAAATCAAATTATAAGTATATACTTGAAGTATCTGTGTTTTCCTTAATATCATATGCCCACAGCTTTATGGTTTTATTTCCTTTTTCATGATTTAACCATGCACCTGGGAATGCCCAGGCAGCTGACTGTGATGTATCCCAGTCACGGAGGTAACATGGTTGCCACTGTGCTATTGACACGAGTAGACCATGGGAATGCTCTCATTATTATTACTCAGCATGATCTATACTTACCAATCAGTTGCTGAAAGAAAATGGGAACCAGTAACAGATTTTTCAGGGCAAATCTTGTGATTCAGCCCACAGGAATAATGAAACTACTGTGGAAGATTTTTTCACTGGGAGACGGTGCTGGGCATTCAAATGTCTTCATGTGTTGTATATCATACGAACTGTATATCTACTGTTAAAGGAAATATCTACATATATGCTTACAGAAATGCTTTATTTAACAAATGCTAAGGGTAGTGTACAGACCAACAAGTTCCTCAGCTACTCCTCAGGAAGGGGCGAGCAAAGCGATTTATTTCTAGTTGTGCCAGTGAGTCATAAAGCATACTATGTGATATCTTTGGTTCACAGAGTTGTTTTCATGTGTTTATTGTAAGGACTATCTATAGCTGTGCAAGGGGGATGGGAAAAGTTGTGTATAGTTAGCCGTTCTCTCTACAAGTTTGGAAGTTTCCCCATTAAATGTTATCAGTATACCAAGGTTTTAATAAAAACAGGTAAAGGTGATTGTTTGTATTTGATAAACAAACTCCAAATACAACCCATCTAGAAATAGATATTTTATTATATATGTGCTATAAATATATCTCTATAGTACAAATAGACATGTGTGATGCATATATACCATGCTATATATGTATATCTGTGTATACACACGGAGTCTGTAATATGTGCACAAACAGATGTGTGTTATGCTGACGTCTTCAGGGTCTGCACTGTGAACTTCCCTGGAGATCATGACCACTTTAAAAACAGAAGTTCTTTTGAGACTTCATTTACTACTCTGCTTTAAGAAAGACCTACTTTATAGCTGAATTACATGTTCTTTCCTAGCGTAATAGTAAGAGATTAGTATGTTCAAATCTTTCCAGACAAAAGTAAAGAAAATATATATATATCTTCAAGTTGGCAATGTATTTAAATTGCGATTTTCTGATTGTGGGTCTAGGCTGTGTGTTTCTCCTTTATGTAGCACCTTTTAAGAAATACTGTTTCTTTGTGTAGGTAAAAGCACAAGTGTTCTAAATGTATATAGCAGGAAGAAAAAAGGAGTTTACAGATAGCTCTGCTGCATATGATAATTGCTACTGAGTCTTTCTTATACCATCAGTGGAATGGGAAGATGAAGCTTATGCCGTAGGTTCATTCTGGTCAACACTGTTCCCTGTCATGTGTGTATAGTGATTAGCTATTCTTGCTTTATCATTTGTACAATTGTAAAATAAATTAAATTACTTTTTTCCAATATTTCTCATGCCTTCAATTTCCCTTCACATGACAATATGAGGTGACTGCGTTTAGGAAGCCTTCACTGTTGCTTGGGTCTCCTCCATTTCAGCGTCACTGATTGGCAATTGGTTTAAACACGTATTTGAAATGTATCCATGGATACATGAATAATTGAAATGTCAGCATTAACATCAGGGCATCCTTAACAGTATTTTGTGTGTGGTTTTGAGTCTGGAATATTTCACTACATGGGTTACTGCGGTTTGTTTCTAGTTTATGCTCCCACTAACTCATATAGCTGAGTCATTTAATCTCCTTGGCTAAAGTGCTGCAGACTTTTTGCACACAATAGTTCCTAGGGCATATAACTTGTGATTTCATCTGCAAATTGCTGCCATTGGCTTTTTGCCTTCTCGAGGACAATTTGGAAGGACTACTTACTTAAATCATTTTCCACTCCTTACAATAACTTACAAATCTATGTTTTCAGACATAGCCTCTCTTTCCTTTAAAAAGTAATTTTTATGTGTTTCCTTTCAACATTCAACAATTTTGAATCATTGTTGGACTCCTTCAAGGAATCTTTAGAGATGGCTGATAAGCTTGGATGTCATTTTTATTTGTTCTTTAAGCCTGTGTACTTACATTTATTTTTCAGTATACCCATAAATAATACTCATGCTATGTGTTCATGAGGTATGGACAGATCACATCATGCTGAAAAAAAATACTACTTTGACAGTCAAATATTAGTGTGTGTTTTAAAATAGATTTGGGTGTCTGAAATCATGGCTAGATTTTCTATCATCGTTCTATTTAGTATACTGTTAGACACACTTGGCAAAGGACTAAATGGCATGCCCTTGCATGGTTCTAGTATATGCTCAGGGGTAAATAAAGCATTACAATATGATACAGACTCTGAGGCACAGAGAAGCTAAAGCAAAAACTAAACTAATTTACAACAGTTCACATTTATAGTGAAAAGCCAGACTGAATCAATCCTTGCAGTATCTCAGGATTTATTAGGTTAATTCATCTTTTACCTGTGTTGTATTAACAGTACTTCAATTGTTCATTCTTTAGACCAAATACTGATCCAACTAGTTTGTACATATTAACTGAGTGAGTTTGAATGAAAAGCGTAAGACATAGGTACTGTGACTATTCAAATTTGACACAAGTACTTAAATGATTATGAGACATCGTCTAGGACATGACTCACAAGGAAGAGAGCCAGGATTTGAACCCTGTGACTCCAGGACCCACACTGTCTCCTAAATCTTGGTCCTCTCCTCTCAGTGATTCTTCATCACTAACAGTGAAGTCCTTTGGAAATGTTGTTAGAAAACATCTTTCCACAATAGATGGTGATCCATACAGAGACCCACAACTGGTCAGTATGCTTCAAAAAGAGGTTACATAATGTTCAGGCATAAATGGGACACAAGTATCACAGTCCTTCATCTGAAACATAGGGACCATTGCTTTTGAGGAAGCAGAAGGCTTCTTAGAGCCCCATGCAGTGTTTGACTACCAAAAAGCAGTTCCTTCTGACACTGTAAGGCAGCTGTTCATATTAACTCTTAGTAGGTGTGACAACAAACAAAAGATCTGTGAAAGTTCAAGCTAGACAAAATTTCAGTATTCAGAATCAATGTCACCCCAATGTTCAACTCCTAGGCAAGCAACTATTGGCTCGTAGCTACTGGGTAAGGGGGAGTATAGAAGGAAG